AGCTAACAGAAATCTTGACATTCAATACATGTCGTCTTTATCCTCGCAGAAGTAATTTTATTTCAACAAAGCACGAGAAACTGTTGAATTTCAGTTTGAACAGATCGACTTAAATCTTTATTTAGCAACGATATTCATGACTTTGTACAGCGCGGTAATCTTCGCAGATATATCTTATTTTCAAACGAGCTCGAGTTATTTTAACAATTAAGTTTTAACAGACTTGATATTTCCTTTTTCAAATTACTATAATGTACGAAGATTATAAATCGACCCCTCAATTATATCAATGAAAATAATCAAAGCCGTTGATAATAGGCGTGATAGGGGTGTTGAGATAATCATATACACTCGTTTACAACGATGGCTTTAGCAGTTTAATTGGGACGTATACAGGGGTGTTCACATTGAAAATTGAAATGAATTTTCACAGAGTTATTCAAAATCAAAATAAATTTAGTTTCATTATATAATATTATAAAATTGCTTTTTTTAACCGAGTGTCTGACTGATTTGATACTGTACACAATGATTACACAAGCGCGATGGCAAAAGAATGTGTCAACGTCTTAATTAAATTTAACTTTTTCAACAAGTTTACGTTCTTACAATTATTTACAAAGGATTTTGATAATAGTTTTTTTAATATACAATGTAGCGGTCAACAACAAGAAATTGGCTATGTCCGTTGGTAATACTATACAGTATGTCCGAATGATAGCCCTGCGTATTATACTCAGCCAAATGTGGTAGTTCACAATCGATCAATTATAATTTAATTATTGTTTTGATAATAAGCCGTGATTATGTTCTCGTCGGTTACCGCTTTTTTGTTTTGATAACAAGCCGCGATTTGAAAATAAGACGGTTTTGAAAATAAGCCCCCACTTTCGTACCAAAACTTAAAATAAGCCGCGGCTTATTTTCAAGGTTTTAGGGTATATATATATATATATATATATATATATATATATATATATATATATATATATATATATATATATATATATATATATATATATTGAAGACGTATTGTTAATCAACATCCATATGTGGACTCGATATATCCCGGTGAACTTAAAATAAAGATACCACATAGTCTGATACATCTGTTTCATATCTGGTTATTTTACTAGAAAAATATGTTTATGGTAACCTAACAACAAAACTTTATGATAAACGTGATGACTTGAACTTTTCTATCGTCAACTTCCCTTACTTAAGTAGCAATATACCCTTATCACCTGTATACTGGATTTATGTCTACAATATGAAAACTGTTCCAAGAAAAAAAAATAAATTTCAAACTTTATTTTGGGACTTATTCAATTGAATGACATTTTAATTTTAAGAGTTTAAGAGTTATTGTTCCTGGATGAGGAGCAGACATCCATAATGTAATCAAATATGGAGATAACGAACAGTAATCAAGCTCAAAAGTCCATAGAAAAACACAGATCAGGAGCGGAGCAAACAGAGATCTTCTAAACATCAGATATGAGATCAAATGTCATGAAGGAGTAAGCATCCCCTACCGACCTGTCACACCGTGCGTGTACTCCTTGTCATGATAGGGAAAACTGAAAATCCGTGGATAGATTGAATTTGCTGACAAGGTAATTGTATCGATCATAATATCGTCACGGTAGCTCAGTCGGTAGAGCGTTCACTCCATGTTCGGAAGGTCGCGTGGTCGCGTGTTCGAATTGAGGCCGCGACTGACCTAAGTCGATAAGAAATAGGTAGCAACTGTTCCTTCGCCAAGAGCTCGACACTTGTAAGTGAAAGTTGGGGGTACTTCGGATGAGACCTTAAAAACCGAGGCCCTGTATCACGATTAGCGTTGGTACGATAAAGAACCCTCACTGCTCAATGGCCCTGAGTGCCAAGTAAAGGTCTAAATTTGAAGCCCTTCACCAGTACATGATGACGTCTCTATATTAGTGAAAAATTCTCGAACCTCAGTCAGCATATGAGTTAATGATAGATTGTATTTACTGACAAGGTTATTGTATCGACCATAGAGCTTACGAAATGACGACTTTAATCGAGAATGAAACATTTCATGTTTCTTTAGAACTCTACCTAAAACAATCTATACGCTCTTTGCCCCTCCCCCCCCCCTTTTTTTTTACAGTTCTTCAAAGTTTTGTTTTTTTTTTCTAATTTAAATATTTCGGATTACCAGGGTTTCGGCATGAGCATCACTGAAGAGACATAATCTGTCGAAATGCGCATCTGTTGCGTCAAAATTGGTATCGTATATGATATACATACATTAAATTGTGTTTGAATGATAAAGAATACCTTTCACGAGAAAATGATTTTTTTTTAATTCTAAGAAAAAAAAACACAAATATCTGTATAAGATATAATTAGTGAATTATCAATATCATTGTCACTTTAAGATCCATTACTCAAATGGTGCATGGCTAGGCACAAAACGAGAACGAAAGATTATTGGATATATGAATATTTAGTGCACATGAAAATCTTTCTATTCTAAAACAGTCAAATGGACACCATTTACTCTCACATACCAAGTTGAACAGATAATTAAGGAGGGGTTCAAAACCTGAATCTTAAGCAAAACAAATTCCTTTTTCCTGTAAATTTCTAAAATCAAACTTCATTGACCCGTTCTCGTCCTTCATCGGATTATATTGAAAAGGATAAAGAGAAATAGTCCAGAGATCCCGGTCGTTTTTCACATGTTACCTTAAAAATTTGTCATTTTTCACATACAAGTAATAATTCAAAGTATTTAAATGTACTGTACATCACACCGACACCCTCTGTTTTTTTTTAATTACTTAGATGTTTAACGGGTAAAAGAAAGTTAAAATGACATCAATGCCAGATAGATTTAATGATATACGTAGTATATTACACTTTTCAATATGAAATATGAAAAAGACCAAAGGTCAAAAAATCTTCCCAGAAGCTGACAAAAAATGATTAAATTGCAACTATTTCAAAACTATTTTTAAGGGTTTTTTCCCCCAAAATATCATTTTTGTCGCACATTGATAAGATAACATAGGTGTCAGTACAGAAAATTTTGTATTTGTGAAAGATTCTTTCAGACAAATCTATAAATAATGATGCAGCACTTTATCGATTTTCAGCTCTCCAATAATTTATGTTAAACATTCATAAATTTACTTTTGTTTTCATTGGTATCCTGATTTTGTCAAACGTTTTATCTTTCGTTTGATTTATTTAGCATTTTATTTCTCCAAAATATTCTTATTATACATGATTGTTTGAAAATGAACTTGTTAATTAATGCTAGTAAAAGTTGATTGAATTGCGCTCCTTACATAGATAAAAAGCTATGCCTGTGTCCTTGTGCTATCTTGTGATATTTTCTTTAAATTAAGTATCAGGACAATTATTCTTCAAAGAAAGAAACTAAATAGATCATGTGTTTTTGAATAATAAAAAATGTGAATTATTGAACAAAAAACTACGTAATTGGCCTAATGGCCTCCTCTATGTTGTAAAACACCACTGAACGCAGGTTAATATGCAAATATCTTTCCTAGTTTTTATGTCCAACTTTAAAAAACAATATTTCTACATCAATCAAATTAATGATCATGTTTATGTATGCGTATTTTTTAAAATCATAAATATCCATGAAATCTATATCTTAACTTACTTCTTTTTATTGAAAGGTCTATGTTCAATTTAAAGATAAAGGCACACTTAAAGAAAACTGTATAAATGTATCAATACAAAATTTGTCATATCACTATGATTCCTACTCTTTTTTTTCAATCTAATTGCATTTATGCCTTAATAAACATTACTATGATTAACCGTCTCAATTAGATAGCTGAGAATTTTTTTTTAAATGTCTTAAAAGTTAGAAAACATTTTTGAGGAGTTGCCTTTTAACAATCTAATTATTGGTAAACTTGAATTAGCTACATTCTAAAATCTACTTTAATTTTAATTGATTGATTTTGATTTTATTTCTAAAACACTATCTACCAATTTCCAGTAGACATCTTATTTTGTTTAAAACATAAAATCACATTCTCATCTTCGAACGACATCGTATTTAGAGATCATAATCTGAATGATTGGATAGAACAATAAAACCATAATGAGTATATTTCAGGGCCATATCTGTCAGTATTATGTGTATTATGAATCCATTTAAACTAATTATGCCCTTGGGGTTAATTTGTTTTCTTCAAGGTTAACATAAGCCTCATTATGAAAACAAAACATGTTTCAAATTCAAGATAAGTTAATTCTATTCGAATCACAGACGATTGAATTGATAAATGATAAAAGGAGGCATGTTTATGCATTGTGTGTTAACCATAATTTTGTGAACACTATTATATTCCTTTTAGTCACATGTAAGTAAATACATGTGTCTAGATACTTCAACAACTAACAAAACTCGTTGAAGCTTGCATAAGATAATGGTGATATGTGAAGGTCGTTCTGCTTTAACAATCATTTTCACTACCTCAATCTACATAAACTGCAAAGTTATTAAATTGCTTTTTTCCACACTCAAAGTATCTAAACGTATGACTTTTCAATATATTACACAACCACTCCCCACAATATACTAAAATTTAGACTTTCAAATTTCATAAACAAGAGCTTCTTTGATAAAGGTGGATTTTTTTCGGTTTTGTTTTCACTGTTCATCTATACATTTATATGGTAAAAATCATTCGGATTCTACATATTAGTATTCTGAAGCGGACGTAACGGGTCAACAGGGAAGGCTTACTCCGCTAACGCACTTGAACCCTTCCTGAATAGTTAATTCGCTCTATTGTGGATTTGTAGTATTTATAGGACTTATGATTGATCATTATTTGTTAAAGAAACATTTTCAATTCTTTTGTTAGATTTTAATTACACACACCATAAAACACACAAAAACAAATAGGAAAATCTTTTTATTTTTGTAGAAGAAAACAGAAAACAATGTACCTTCATATTTGAGGCCCTCGATGAAAAAAAGAGTCTTAAAACATATGATTTATAACATTTCAGTGTAACCTGCAACTATTTTAATGCGTCATTTATGATTTAGAAGCACCGGAGATGATTAATCAACAAATGATGCTTACCCTGGGCAAGAAGATTTCTGGTATATTAGGGACCTAAAAACTTTCAACTTGAACCGCATCAGCTTAAAGAGAGCTATTAAAACTGTTATTTCCCATTGATTCAAAGAGGAAAGTCGAGGAGATGTACTATCTAAAGCTTACTTTTTCAGTAGCAGCAATGCTACTGACTTTGTCAACCTTAACTGAAGGATCATCGGTCTTTGTCACTGTGAAATGTAACCGAGAATGCACAAAGGAAAAGTTAGACTGCTCAAACGAGTGCCGCATGGGAGACGAAGATTTTGAGAGACTGGAATCATTACAATGCCTGAAAGAATGTAAGGTGAAAACAGAAGCCTGCGAGAAGGTGTGTGCTTGTGGGGATCAGTGTGCACAAAAGCTGTCTGCCTGTAAGACTAGCTGTAAGAACCACACCTTTCAGACAAAGCACGACAAGAGGGAGTGTTTGGCAGAATGTTATTTTGATGCTGAGCAGTGTGGTGAGATGTGTTAGGAACACTCGACTAAATTTATGTACATCTAATTAAAGTAATTTTGAAAAATCTTTTCTACTTTCTTTTTCATTTTATTACATTTTTAACAGTGGTATACTGTGCATTATTTATTGAATGAAAGTGATATTCTCTCAAAGTATTAAAGGATACCAAAGTGATATTCTGTCACAGTGTGAAAGGATATCAAAGTAAGTAAAAATATTTTCTGGCCTGTGATAAGATAGAGATAGTAACTAAATCGTCTTTATGGAGACTAAAACTGCCAATTTCTTCCCAAATATGTTGCTAAAATCTATATTACAATGTTTTCAATCTCACAACTACTAAGCTATGACGTCTCAAATGCTGAACGATGACGTCACAGCCTATGACACTTTGATAAGAGAGAGGAAAAGGGAAAATCAAAGGAAATGTAATAAACAGAAAATTCAATGTTTTGTAGATGGATATGGAATTTATTTCGTTCGTGAGACAGGATTTTTTCATATTTTCACTCGTGAAAATATCGAAAAATCCTGCCCCACTCGTGAAATAAATTCCATATCCAACTACAAAACATTGAATATCCTCTATTTACTTCTAAGGTGATATTTAATCTATATGATCTCAATTTAATCTATCTGTCTCAAAATTAAGAGCACATTGATTTTTGTCAATCAAAAGCTAATATTTTAATTTTTCCGGAAGAATACATTTTCTTAACATTTTTACCATTTACAGCTTTGGACTTAATAGTCTAGACCTTTCAGCTTTATTTTTCAACCTTTCTGCTAGGGTTCGGTGTTAAAAAAGATAACTTAATACCGGAAATTGTTTTCAGCATGTCAATTTCTAGCGTTCTAAATTACTCCTTCATTGTCAGCGGTGACTTGTGTTTCAATAGTTCAGCGAAAATGGTAAATTAATTTTTCACGTAGCTACCATTGTTATACAATACTCTGTAAGTAAAATTTTGAATAAATTCTGAAGTGAAATCTGTCCCCTTTTTAAGCTTATCCAGGTTAAATTTTTATACTTGTTTGTTCTTCTTCGTGCTCAATATAAAGAATTTCATAATTATTTACTGCGTTTGGCTATAGAAATCTAACAATATATATATATTTTTATTCAATTGAGTAAATGTATTGAATAAATTGTATTTTGATAATTTCACGTACCTTTAAATTATAATCTATCAAATATTTTTACTTACCATAGGTGCAACTTGAAAAACTAGTTGAAAGACCCACAGTTTATATAGCAAGGCATGAGAAACACTCAGATGTGAATAGTTTTTACTTTGAAATTTTAAAATAAAGTACACGGTCTTAGTACGACACAATTTTCATTTTAAACCTTCGTTGCCTTTCAGCTAATTCGGAAAGTGACCCTCATCTATCACATCTCCAAGATGCTTTGATAGGGTCCCATTCTTAAAATACGACGCATACCTACTTTGAATCTAATGGACACAAATCTTTAACTCATTCATTCGTCATTTAATTTGAACAATAATTATGCTATGAAACTGTAATTTTACCTTATTGGATAGTTTGAATCATTCAACTGTTATCGTAAATTCTACATAACTTGATTCAAAAACTAGGGTTAACATATATCAAAGCTCCCTTTCTAAGGAGGAAATTCTTCAAAATCATATGTCAAATTTAAACATTTTTAATATTTCCAACAATCAAAGTAAATTTGAATTAATATACCTATCATACCTATACTGAATTACTTAACTTTATAAAAATCCTTAAAAACAAAGATACATAGCATTTTTTCCAGTAACTGTTTTATCAAGCCTTTTTCTTTTCTTTTCACTAAAATATTAACAGCTGTGAAGGGGAAACTTCAGGAGCACTGTACAACAATATATTCAAAACGTGGTGTAAATCTGATGTGGATACTTAAAAATCCCAAAAACTTTCAGAAAATTTGAAATTAAAAAAAAATATCAAATTCAATAATATAAAAACGTACAACCTTACAACATTTTATCCAACCATTTTCCACGATAAATTAAAGTCTAGGATTTTTGATATCATTGACATGTCAGCAAATATAATCTATGATTTTGTCAAATGCTAATGGACGTTTTTCATACTAATTGATAGGCTATTATTACACATTTAATTGTATACGAATTCCTCCTTTTTCCCGATCATGACAAGGAGCGCACGGCGGGTGTGACCGGTCTTCAGGAGATTGTTACTCCTCCTGATCCCATCTCTGATGTTTAAAAGATCCATGCTTGCTCTGATCCTGATTTGTATTGCTTCAATTGACTTTTGAAGTTGAATACTGTTCGTTATCTCCATATTTCATTGGAAAAATTTTGCAAAGACCCTCGAAATGTTTGAACAGGTCTGAGAGAGACAAAATATGTTCAGATTACCTGTTTAATAGTACACAAAGATTCAGAGAGAGATGTTAGACATATACAATCCAATTTTGTGGTCCAGATGTTCGAAGTACATAACGTCCAAAGTAAACTTGATAGTGTCCGATACAATTTGAGCCCCAGTAAGCAGAGAAAGAGGACCAAATCACGTAAGGATTTTTTTTCTATATTGCATAACATTGTCTTTTGAAATTAAGTGTTCATTGAGTTTCAAAGTCTATAAACAAGTCGGGATTCAGTCTTTGTAAAGGGGTTTATGGGGAGTAGGAATTAAAATGCAAAGTTAATGACATCAAAAGTTATGAAGTTCAACAGCAACAGCGCCTGTTCAACACTACATATCTATTTTATAAGATTTTTAGCGTCAAATAATCGGCGTATCAAGCTAAAATATTCAAAACTTATGTATCTTTCGTTGTTTTATGTTTATGTTAATTTTTTATCAGCTCAACCAACATAGTTTTAATTTTATCGCAGCAGTCCACGAACTTTCTGATAACCAATCGTATGTGTACATTTACATATCTTGCAACAAAATACATTGGAACTCCTTAACATTCCTACACCTAATTTGGAAACAACCAGGATATTCTACATGTATAATGAGAAAGGCTGGAACAAACACTTGTCTTTTATGGTTAATAAAAATCGGTAAACACAGATAAGAAATAGTATAAACATGTTTTTTCGAGTATGGAACGAACCTGAAAATAATAATTTGTATGAAACGAATCCCAACGCTGGTTTAAAAATAAAAATTGTACACTTTTGGACACCTCCTTGTTAAGCAAGCTATGATTAACATTTATGATGTAATCTCGAAATCTTTGTGTAGCCCTTAGATGGGAAAACATAGCAAAAAAAAATTAAGAAATGAATTTTCATCACTTACATGCTTTTACTACCTATATTGCAGCTACTGGCAGTTCCTTTTATTTATTTTGCTTTGTGAAGGGTGTGTATTTGTGATTTACATTTTTTAAAATAATTGAACTATTTATTTATTATACCTTTTTATTTCCTAATTTTTTTTCTATTGTTATAAAACGCCTTTCACATGAAAGCCGTCTTCATGTACGTTACAATTAAATATACCACGGAAAAAATAGAAATCATATTTTTCCCGTGCTGATTTTTCTTTTTTTTTTTTTCTTTTTTTTTTTCATTTTCATATCCAGATTCGTTTCTTATTCAGAAACATCTCTCATAATGGCAAATATTTATTGTCTTTTGGATCTGTAATTTGTATTTGACGCATACAAGCAAATTTTTGAGACTGGGGTTAAAACTGATTGCAAATATCACAATGAAACTGAATCAACAGATGGGCAAAATCATTGACGTAAAATCATTATGTTGCAGGTAAATATGCGTTTTTAAGGTATAATTCCTATAGACAAAATCTCATGGTGTCAGGTGGTTATTAAGTACTAAGACGCGCAGAATTTATTTAACGAACACCACACCAAAAAAACAGACATAAAGTATGTGAAAATAATCTTATGGTGCTAGATGGCAATTAAAAAGAGCATGCAAAATTTACTTTAACAAAGAACAGATGACAGTTTATCTCCAATCCGATTCTCATTTTACATATGTTCTCCTCTGTTATCTCCACAGGTTGTGTTTCAAATAAATTTTGACATTAGATTTATTTAAAAATTTGTGTTACAACCCCTGTTTCTTTTGTCTTTGGGCCAAAGTAAAAAATGTCTTTCTTTCCTGAACGCACCCGATCCTATTAAAATCGCACCGATTTATTTTTCTTTTACCTGGTGTATTTATTTTTTTATTATTGTAAAATTAAATTTCATCCAAATCAATTTCTATCAGAACAATTGTTTTCGTTCTATTGATTTTATAGCGTTTGTTGGAATCAAAATGACGGACACAACATGATCACATTGGGTTTTCAGAGAAAGAAAGTTCGAATTGTAAAACAACGACATCCCATGATTATCTCATAAGAATACTCTTTTAATGAAACATTTGATACATTAAATTACCACAAGTTATTCAAAGTGTTTCAACGGTATTTATAAGTCAATAGTTAATTTCTTTCTTTTTTTTTTTCTTTTTTTTAAGTGTATGTACATACTTAGAGTCTAAATTTGAAGCTTATCTAAAATCGAGCAATCGTAATGAATTAGTTCAGTGTTAAATTTTGATTTTTTAATTTCATAGTATATCAGAGGAGGTTATGCATGAAAAGTGCCGTGTGCAAAAATTAAAATATCACGTGACCGGAAAGCCCACCTACCATGAAATATGTGTAGATTGTATTATATATATGCGTATATGCTTATTCTGTTTTAAATTGATCTCTTTTGTGATTTATAAAGAAATAATCAAAAAATTTTAGAACGAATTTTCAAAGCATCTGTCAGAAAAAAAATAATTTAATCACCTATCCATCTTAAAAATCTAGGTTCGGGTTATCATTAGGGGAAACAGAGATACTTTTAGTGATTGCCTTGACAAAAGTGTACTCATATTCTACTACATATTCTCATGGGTGTATCATTTTAGTCATTTAATTTTCCGAACTTTATTCACATAGTTCAACTTGTTATTTGTCGGCTCATATCGGAAATTGTTTTGTAAATAAAATTGTTTATCGATTGAAAGTCAATTTCATAAATTTTCACTTTTTGACTGTTTACATCCATTTATTTGTATAATGATGACTTCGGATGTCATTGAAATTAGATTTCATACATGTCGTTCTCGTTTATTTATGAAGACGAATATTGAATAAATGTCATACACAAGTACATTTTGTAATTTTCTGTATAAAAATCGTTGTGAAAACCAGGCAGATCACTGCTATTTGATCATTCTTATTTCACATTTACATATTTGTAAGGGGAAAATTGGCAAAAAGAAGGACGGACACGGAATATATATCTATACATCTGGACATTGAAAGGGGGGTATTTTACTCTTTTTTTCTAGGTTTTATGATAAAATTAAAACATTATACTACAAAGAATAACCTCAATTCCAAAAATACTTACTCTTTCATAGAGTGTTGAAAAATCTTTTTGAGGTCGCAATATTTTAATCAAAAAAGTCAAATCCTATATCTAATACTCGTTTCTTACCCTAAGTATCAAGAATATCTATTTTTGTAAATAGATTAGAGAAATGACGAACATTTTCTTAGAAACGACACTTTTTCAGATTGATAGTTCACCCCACCCCTAACAAGGAACATAATGAATAGAATCTTTTTTTTTACTTCGACGAACTTTCATTCTGCGCATGTCATGCATCAGAAGAGGATAAAGTTTATAAATAATATTTAAATGACTCAAATCTCTCAATATCATTATACAGGTACGCATTCTGAATTTCAAGATGTGGCAAAGACTGGTATTTTTATTGTTATATTTTCTCATACAAACATATGGATATTCCGAGCTCACGGATAAAAGCAACAATAGTTCAACACCACTGGACATCAGCGATCACGACTCCAAAAATAATGACGTCTTCCGGCAATTACTGAACCAGGAAACAATCATTCGAATGTCATTAGTGAAGAACGTACATACTCTATCGAAGGACATGCTCGATCTTAAGAAAAGTATGGAAACATTGGAATCCTTTAAACGGAAAACAGATTCAGAGATGGCCACCTTAAAAAAGGAAGTGGATAATTTAAAAAGAGAAAACCAAAGACTTGAACTAGAAAACAGGCGTTATGAGGAAACGTTCAATGCTACTACGGAAAACTTCACCAAAATCGATGAAAATTTTCAACAGGTTGTGGACCAATTGGAGGAGAAAAGAGAGAGTTTCGAGACAAACACTAGTGAAGTACTGGCGAATCTTAAAGTAGAAGTTCGATACCTGTCAGTTACTCTTCTGGACTTGAATAAACACACTTTGGAAATTGACAAGCGTATTTCTGATAAGATTCAGGAAAAATATAAACAGTTATCTTTGAGACTGAACACATCTGTAGAGAACCTGAACAATGATATAATGACAACAAATAAATCCATGTCTGACCTCAAAGACTCGCAAAATAGCATTGAAAATTTTATAACTAGTAAGTAATCTTAAAGAAAAAAAATTAATCGATGGCTTACTTAAATGATTTTTTTTCGTGAGATAGTCCCTGGGTAACATGGATGAGGAAACTATTCAAAATGTTCTTCCTTATATGAGAAAATGAGTCTATTCATAACCACAGAGATCAATTGCTTAAAAAAGAGATAGATCTGAAATCATTTTCTGTCAGTTAATTTATGGTCCCTGAGTCCTTTCTCTTTGTTCCAAACGTGCTACATTTTTTTCATATTGTTATTAAACTGTTATAATTATAATCACAGACATGAACAATATCTATAAAATCTGCATTTATTTTAATTTAAGCATTGAATCATTATTTTTGGAAAGGTATAGTCTTGTAACTGCAGTGGTGTGTGCAAACAAACTGAGTAAAGCACATTAGATAAATTGATAGCTTTGCGATGTCCTGTGAAATAAATGAGGGGGAAATATTTTTTTAAAATCTGAACTTTTTTGAAACCTGGATAATTCCAGCGTAGGCACACTTTAAAAGCCTAGACCTTTAAAACGAAAAAAGAATTAAAAAAAATAATATTAAGTTTCATTAGTTTCTGATGATTTTATCAGCTGGATAAATAAAGTGCAAAATTGTTCGTTTTGAAATCGACTGACTAAAATAATGCTTGAAGAAGTGTTTTTAGTAATTCAACATTTGCTGTTAAAAACGTTTCATTGTGTGTCTTTTTCATAGACGTTCAATACTTGAATAATATAAAAAAAATATAAACATATTTCAGTGAGACTATTTAAGAAGTCTGAAAATATGATAATTTTTTTTGAAATTTATTTATTCTAATATTTCTTCTGTTGATTTTTGCAGTGAACATCAATAAAACATTGGAGGACATGAGGGCTGAAGTGAAACAATCTAAGTATGATCAACTGCAGCTGTCCTCTACAGTGTCCTCTCTCGAGGTGTTCCGAATGAATTTGACAAATAACCTACATGGTAAAAAAATCAACTTTATCTCAATAAGATATATATCAATTTGGCAAATGAAGTCACAATATAATATGTTCGATATTTAGCTTAATTTATATGACTTGAAAGGATGATGGTCACTCCAAATACAGATGTCAATCCAAACGCTGTTGTTCGGAAAATGTAACAATTAAGTGAAGCCCTTCACCGGTATATGGTGACGTCTCTAAATGAATGAAAAATTCTCGAACGGGACGTAAAACAACACACAATCAATCAATCAAGCTTCCTAGAGAAAGATATTAATGGCAACCTAACAACATATCATGAAAACGAATGTGATGACTTTAACTCTTCTATCGTCAACTTTCCTTATTTATGTAGCAACAGACTGTTATTACTTGTATATGGAGTAATGTCTCCCAATAAAATCAATATGCAAGAACATGCTCTACATGTAAGAACAATTTCTAAAATAAGGCAACCTATTGACATTTTAGTTGATGATAGAAGAATATCAACGGTCTCGTCTATAGCCATTGTTTCAAAAAACCTATGGCCAAACAATGACTTTGTTAGAAAATACAATCTATCGTTAAGTCAAATGTTGCTTGATTTTTTTTCATAAAAATATTTTAGGCCATTAATTTCACACTGAATTGTCTACGACTCTGAATTGTGCATACGACTGTTTTGTCTGGTCCACAGGGGATGCTTACTCCTCCATGGACCATGGAATCTGATCCCACTTTTGTTATTTTTAGAGTCCCTGTTTGTACTGCTTGCAATTTGGATTGCTCTAATGGACTTAGTATTTGCATCTTCCTATCTATTAACGTAATGGGAGTATCTTACCGCAATAATTTTAGAAATACAGCATATATTTTGAACGATTTTCTAATTTTGAACGTCCAATCTGTGAAAATATATCGCTGGATTTTAGGTCATCAAGTTTTGATCAAAATCAACTTACATGTAAGAACTTCAAAAAATAAATGATCTACCCACTTTAGAGAATAAATAATATTTGATTTTATGCCTACTCCTTCCTTTACCTCCACACAACATAAACACTATTTATCTTGAAAATGTATTTTATTGATCAAATTAATCTAGATCAACAATCTGAACATGTAAGGGAACAAATATAAGTATCTACCAAAAATATTCCTAAGACTATATGCAATTATCCAGTTCACATGAATAAAGCAAATACAAAAGAACTAACAAAATGTAATCAAGTACTTCAAAACATAAACATTCAAAAGTTTACTTCTTCATACAATGGTCATACTTAAGTTAAGAAAGTACTCTGAAAGTTAAGAAAGTACTCTGAAAAAAACAAAACAGACAGACATGCAAATTTACACATATATAGTACATATCTATTACCAGTATTCCATGCCAATCAAGAAAAAAGTGAAGGTAAATTTTCAAGATAACATACTTGGCTGTGGGTGAAACAAAACAAACCAAGTTTTATGTCATTTTTACTTGTAAAACTGCAATTTCATTAAACGATGCAGCAGGTTTTAAAAAGTAATAAATCGGCTAAAACTAAACTTTCGCATAAAATTTTCTCTGTGATGTTAGGCTTCTATCAGGGTAATGTTTCACAAAAAGGGACGCTATCTTTTAGCCAACTAAAATTAAGTATTGCTAAGGAGTAACATACAGGCATTGGTTTGGAAAAAATAATTGAGGCTCCCCATGGGTAACAAAATACAATACGCACAGTTGTCAGCATGCGATCACTTATTACATAAATTGTATTAACGGGCATACCCAGTACAACACAATCCTTTGGCACATCTTTAATCTTGAATTTAATAAAACATTAATAATATTTTTATTTGTAGGCAGGCCAAAGAATGTAGGCTTTTCCGCCTCAGTGACTTCCCCTAACTCTTCATGGAACAGTGGAACGCTGGTTTTTTCTTCTGTTATCACAAATGAAGGAAAGGGATACAACCCAAGTAATGGAATATTTACGGCTCCTACTGGCGGGGTATATGTCTTCTTTGTCAATGTTCAGAGTTATTACAGAAAAACTATTTATGCGGATATTGTGTTGAATGGATCAACAAAAGTTAAGACTATGGCCCATAGTAATTATAATGACGCAGGTCCCAATATGGTAGTGCTGACCATTGAGAAAGGAGACGCAGTTTGGGTCAGATACAGCTCTGGTCAAGGTTATTACAGTAGTGGTTCAATAACCACATTCTCCGGTTTTCTCATATAATTATATCTGTAACGTTCGTTGTACATACGATCCACTTAACATTGAGTATATATACTGTGCATCAAAATGTATAATCTTTTTATATTTGCTTGAAAATAGGTTAAACTTGAACACTGGCTTCAAAACGCGTGAGAACTTACAGGATACGTTAGTCAATCGATTGTTTTTCGTTTATTTTTGTAGCGTCATATGACCTTTGATATTATGAATTGTTGTAAAGACAGATGAAATTAGGGCAATTATCGAATATATATATATATATATTTTTATTTGGAAAAAAGAGTCCAGGGGCGTTTACAAAAGAACTTACGACTAAGACCAAAAACTTCAGTTGATTGTAAAATTTTGCAAAATTAATAATTCTGTTAAAAATTGCTAGCTTAAAAGTATCTTTCTACATACATTTTAAAATATTAAAACCATTTTCTATTTAATTTAAATTAGAAAGTTATTAGCAGAATTAAAATTTTGGTGTTAGTCACATCAGTTCGCATACCTATCAATTTAAACGAAATTTTCAGTAAATAAAGAAAATACGTAATACCTATAATAGGTATTACGTTTTTTTTTATTTACTAAAAATTTCGGTAAAATTGATAGGTATGCGAACTCCTGTGGTGTTAGTCGTAAGTTCTTTTGTAAAACGGCCCCCTGTGTTTTAAACATGCAATTTTTCATCAAATTTTTATCCCAAAATATCCCGTCGGTCATCATATTCCTTGAGAGAAATATTTAAAACTGAAAAAGCAAATTTGTAAAATATCTGCAAATTGCAACATATTGTAAACACACTACAGAGCTAATTGGTAAGAAAGTAGTAAATTTATTTTATGATTCAAAGGTTGAACATACGAACACAGTGGTTTAAATATGTTTCTTTTTAAAATAATGTATCAAACCTTTTAACTTATCTGAATTAACGACATATTTATTATTTACTATATAACCAATTTATACACTAACTCGTATGTCCAGTAGCGTTTTATTCTATGCAAAACCATAGATATTTGTTATAAACTCTTTACTAGCATGGATGCAAACTCCGTATGTTGATGCCTAGTAATTACTTTAGGACTGCTTTTTCTTTTAATATGGAGAATGTTTCTTCAGTTGCAAAAATTAATACTCGCTAGATGGATTTAAAACAGACAAATCACAAAAAACCTGGTTTACAGTAATGACTGGGCAACAACATACTTCGGGTCATTTTTCAACGTTGGGTGTAAAGGTTATGCTATTGAAGAAGGAACCATATCAATTAACCAGGAGTGACTAATATACGTATTTATAATATCCCTTTGTTTAAATCATTCCAATTTGTGTTGTCAGATGTATATATGTCTTAAAACCTGCTTAACTCGACAGATATAATGAACATATACTTTTACATCTGATTTGATATTAAGTTTCTGAAAGTCTTCATTAGCAAATGAACCAGTTACAAATGCCTCTATGCATTTTACTGATATTAACTTCAAAGTTTTTACTTCATCTAAGTCACTCGGGCGATCTTTTGTCCGTCGTCGTGTGTTGTGCGTTGTCGTTTATTATTTTCAGCTTCTTCTCAGGGATGGCTGAACAAATTCCAATTTATTTCGGTATAAAGCATATATGGATAAATTAAACAAAAAAATGTATCGTCTCTTCCTCCCTAAGACCTAATGTATGTTGTTAAAACCATAAAGATTAATGCGATAAAATATGGAGATATTCAGTATTCAAGATCAAAGTCCATTAAAACAATACAAATCGGGAGCAGAGCAAACATGGACCGCCAAAAAAATCAGAGGTGGGATTAGGTGCCATGGAGGAGTGAGCATCACCTGCCGACCGCTCACACCCGCCGTATTCTCCTTGTCATGATCGGAAAATAATGGAAAAATCTGTCCACAATCCAGTGAATAAATAATGGCTGAACAATTAGTATGAAAAACGTCAGTTAGTATATGACTTAATGATAGATTGTTGACAAGATCATTGCATCGACTATATAGAACTTATAAAATGATGACTTTAAACGAGACTGTTGATATTCTTGTTTTATCAACTTGTTCGTCAATAACTTGCCTCGTTTTAGAAATTGTTCACACGTAGAGCATGCTCTTGCGTATCGAATCAACTGAGAGATACATGTACATGTATACATCCCACATGCAGATGATAAGGTATATTGCTGCATAGGAAAGGGAAGTGGACGATTGAAAAGTTAAAGTCATCACATTTATCATAAAATTTTGATTCAATCCTTACAAAGAAAGATACATAGCGGGTTCCAGCAAATGTTCAATCAAGACTCTTTCTTTACTCCTCACTAAGATATTAACAGTAGTGAAGGAGAAACCTCAAGAGTACTGTGCAACAATATATTCGAGAAGTGGTGTAAATCAGATGTGGATACCTAAAAAATTCCAAGGAACTTTTAGAAAATTTGAAAGCACAAGATTTTACCAAAATCAACAGCTAAAAAACTTACGACTTTTCAACTTTATACACAACCATTCCCCACGATAAATTAAAGTCCAGGCTTTTTTATATCATTGACAGCAGCTTTTTCAATAAAAATGGAACTCGTAAATTTACTTACCTTTTCATTGGTCATTTGCAAAATTCTTTTGTTAAGAAACATTCTGATTGTACACACAAGTACTCTGAAGTTGACATTAAAAAGATGCTTGAGTTTCTGATTGACAATATCTATGTGGTTTTTGGAGACCAGGTCTTCCAACAATCTATTGGAATTCCCATGGGTACCAATTGCGCCCCGTTATAAGCAGATCTTTTTTTGTATTCATATAAAGCAGAATTTGTCCAAAATCTTATACGTGAAAAGAAGAAAACACTTGTTGTGTCCTTCAACTCGACATTTAGATATATCGACGACGTATTATCAATTAACAATAGTTATTTCCATTCTTATGTCGATACGATATATCCTGGTGAGCTTGAGATAAAAGATACCACAGAGTCCGACACATCTGTTTCATACTTGGATATTTTACTTGAAAAAAACGTTAATGGTAGTCTAACAACCAAGCTTTATGATAAACGTGATGACTAACTTTTCAATCGTCAACTTCCCTTACATATATGCAGCAATATACCTTCATCACCTGCATATGGGGTTTATATCTCTCAGTTGATTCGATACGCAAGCGCATGCTCTAAGTATGTACAATTTCTAAAATGAGGTTAATTATTGACAAACAAGTTGATGAAACAAGAATATCAGCAGTCTCGTTTAAAGTCATCATTTCGTAAGTTCTATGTTCGATGCAATGACCTTGTCAGCAAATACAATTAATCATCGAGTCAAATGCAGATTGACGTTTTTCATACTGATTGTTAGCACATTATTTACACACTGAATTGTCGATGGATTTTTCCGTTATTTCCCGATCATGACAAGGAGCACACGGCGGGTGTGACCGGTCAGCAGGGGATGCTCACACCTCTATGGCACCTGATCCCACCTCTGATGTTTGGAGGTCCGTGTTTGCTCTGCTCCTATTTTGTATTGTTTAATGGACTTTTGAGCTTGAATTCTGTTCCTTATCTCCATATATTTCATTTAGATTACCATTAATGTATTTTTCTGGTAAAATATTCAAATAAGAAACAGATGTGCCAGCGATCTTTAAAAATCTGTACTAAAGGACATCCAGCACGCAAAATGCTGGAATGATTACAATAAGCAATGAGCCCTTTTCCAAATTTTAAAATCTATGCCCCTGGGTTAAATGTGCAGACTCTAGGGTGGGGCAAAGTTCGTCATGTACTTGAATACATTATATTTTAATTTTCACTTATTTTATATCTTTAACTCATGAACCTCTTTTAACTTATTACATATTTTCAACTTAAGAACCTCCAGGAAGAAAATTGTTTGCATTATTTTAACTAGAAATAAATACACCTTTTGCCAAAATTGTGAAATTAATTTCCCATGGGTTCTAGTCTTAGGCTCCAGGGTGGATCTAAGTTTTATATTGGAAATGTTATGCATCTTCTGTACTCATGGACATCTAGCCTATAAAGCGTTTCCATATGTATGACAAATACTTAATTTTCAAAATTGTATAATTCATGACCCATGGTCCTTAGCCCAGGTCTCTGTGTGTGTGTGGGAGGGGGGGGGGGCTTGGTTGATCAAAAATTAAGGATATGCAAGGTATTTTCTATCTTTAAGAGAGAGGAAGTAATTGATTAGACTTTATAAATTGGCATTTTCAAATAAAATGAACATTTTGAAACATAGCAAAAAGTTTATTAAAGATACATCACTTAATTTGGAGTGCATGTTGCATTTTTTCTTTCATATTAAAAGTTTTGTTCAGGCTAATTTTTAGAATAAATAGGTAAAGTGTTGTCTATAAACTCTTAATGTATCTATTTTTCATTTAATTTAGTGTTAAGATATTAAATGAAAAATCATTTTTCATACTAAAGCATAGTGTAAAGGAAATATATATTTTTCCTTCCTAAACTCTGTATTCAATAATCATTATATCTAAACATTTCCGAATTGAGAAACAATCTTAAAGTCAAATAAAAATATACATTCAATATTGAATTTATAAACTTAAAATACCGATCTATTAAATAAAGCAGATAATGCAATTCGGAAAAATAAGCAATTTTCTTCTAAAAATTTCTCGAACAAAATTGAAAGGATTTCCAGGGTTATGCCTCTTTTCTATAGTAATTTCCTCAGGAAATTCAACGATCCCAAAATTAATCCCTCATCTGATATTTGTAGCTATTTTTACTTCATATATTTCAAATATACCCAGACTCTTAATAGATTCATTTCTGTTGCAATTAGTTTTAGGTTAATTTTTTTTGCTAGTTTGACTAGACTAGAGAAAAGCTACATAAATATATGATCATAATTATACAGTTCTCACCAAACTGTAACATGTTTATTACATAAGATCAGAGTTCTGATCAAGGAAAACAATACATTGTCAAGTATGAGTATCAAAGTAGAAATCATGGCACTGCAGATAAAGAGTTATTTGGTTCAGTTTGGGCTGCAGTATGTTTTTCATTTCATTTTTACACTACTACAGTGAAAAATGTAAATCATCAATTTTTTATGTTGAATTTATTATTTTTTTAATGAATACATGAAATATGAAAATGAAGGCAGTTTTCAGTTTTTATGATATAAAAGAAGGTGAAGATAACGAACGGTGATCTTTAAAAAAACCTAGAGGCAATACAAATCCGTGAACAGGGCAAAAACAGGGGGCCCT